AAAAAAAAAAAAAAAAAAAAAAAGAAAAAGAAAAAAAAGATCCATTCGCCACAAGAATGGCCGAAAGAAGGGAAAAATAAAATGGTCCATTGAAAAGATACGACACTGCCGTGTAGTATCGTATCTGTTACAATGTATAAAAGGATGCAGCACAGTCTGGAAAGAATGCCGATCAGAAGGACGCAAGAACGGTTTGAACGATATCCATGTCCACGGGCGTGTAAGACGCGAGACGTTGGAATACACGGGTTGGCCGTGGTCGATGCCGACGACACGAGATACTAATCGTTCATTCGGCGATCGGTGATCGGGGGCCTTCTTCGAGTCTGGTTCACTTCTACACCGATATCCCCTGTTGCCAGGGCGGACGGGGAAGTAGGATATTATTTTCTTCAGATACCATTACCACGCCGATCATGGTGGTCCTGCCTTGCAGACGAGTGGCCCCGATACCCTCGAGATCACTGGCTTGTAATGCCTTCCCTTTCGTCGTCGATTATTGACCAGTGAACGGTGAGCCCGGCTGCGAAACACTCCAACGCTACCTATTCCACTTGCGACCCTCGACCAACCACCCTTTTCCACCTTTTCGCTCGCTCCTCCTCGCTTCGAGATCCTCCTTCTACCATTTGTTGCGTTTCCTCTTCTCCGCTGGAATTTTTTCCACGGCAAAGGGAGAAGAGCTAGTTCTTCCGTCTAACCTATTACGTTCTTTTCCTACCCGTTGCTAAACACTCGCTTAATTGATGCACATGGGTCTACGCGGGTCTAAGAGAAAAGAAACATTTGAACATTTTGAGTTATTTTTACGTTAGTACGTAAGGATACGTGAGTTAAAAGTTTAGAATCTTGGTTAAAAGAGTAAAAATTCGATTCAACGATATATTTTGTAAATTTTGAGTGATTATTTCATTGTTTCATTGTTTCAAAGTCGCGTTTCTTCTGGTTTTAGCGTGTATGATTCTATACGAAGCATGCCTTGTTATTTTTGTAATCGAATCGTGAATTAGAAATAATTAAACGCGTAAATGTGTATTAAAAAAAGTAACTAATCAATTTTGTAATTTCAAAGAATTTGAGCAGCTTATAATATTTAAATAAGAGTATACAATGAACGAACAAGCTTGATTTCCTTATATTATAATTAATTAAAATAATAATCAAAGCGCGCAATAAACTAGACTTAATATCTTAATTTTATGTTTATCGATTTACATATGTTTTTACTTTTATATAATTTTCTCGTTGCTCTTTTTGTTGAAACAATTCTATATATGTATACGATCATTGTCAATAATTAGAAATTTAATTCCTAAAAACTTCGATCATCAGGATATGTAACTTTTCAAATATCGATGCAATTGATTAATATGTAAATTTTCTGCATGATTTGAATAACAATACTTTATAATTTGGCGATTTTTCTTTAGAATTTGCGTACATATGATATACATATTCACGCTATAACGTCTCAATATCGTGGAAAAATATTTAGTACGTCTTGATACGTGTTGTAAGTGTGAAGTATGTCTTCTGGATAGAAGGAAACAGGTGCATAAAAGGAACAATATGATAAGACAATATTATTAAATTGTTTTCAAACAAAAGATCGTGTAAAAGATCTTCGTTTAAATGTTTATTTGATTTTTATTTATTTCAATTTGAATCTTTTGTAATGATCCAAAGTTTCTTCTTTTTTTCGCGTTCCCAGCGCGAGATTCCGATTACATACATATTCTTTCGAGAATCGCAACAGATTTTACAGATTGGGATAGAACGAGTGTGAAACTTGTGGCTTAATCACGTGAATACGTTCAGTAATACAAATATTTGAACACTAAATTCACGTAACTTGATAGCAATGCTAAGATCGAATTTAAATATGAAGCCTTTGATCGTTATTATTAACAGACACTTTTTTTTTTTTTCTACAAAAGCTTGCAAAAATTCTTCACCAAGTACGGGAAATGTATATAATACAAAATTATTATATCTTACGTTGCATATTGACAGATCGTCAAAAAAATCGAAGAAGCGAATGTTAGAAAGCGATCTTTATTCAATTTTAACGATCAAGTTTATAATTTTACGATTCGATTAACAGTGAATATAAAATTTATATGATACGATATTGAAAAGTAAAATAATCCTATCTATCTATCTTTAATTCAGAAATTAGAAGAAGAAGAAGAAGAAGAAGAAGAAGAAGAAGAAGAGAAAGAAATATAAACTCATTCATTCATCCATCTCTATTCTAAATATATCCGAATGATTTACGGATTTACAATAGTGTGTGATAGTTATATTTAACTGTTTAATAACGTGTAACTTTATTTTAAACGTTTGTAATAAAATAAAAAAGCAGCGACAATGATTTACGAACCGAATTTTGCACCATAATGATGTTTTTCTTTTTCTTCACGAGTTTTCTCTCAAAGAAAAGAGGAAAAGAGGAATGGTGCTGGAAGCGTCATTTCCGGGACGAAAGAAGCAAATGATCCGTTGGATGAGCGAGGGAGTGAAAAATTTGAAAAAATGCAAAGTTTTGCGATGGGTGGAAGTGTTGCCTCTCACGAGGGCAGGCGCATCCGACTATCGGATGTCTCGACATAATCGCGACCGTCAGGCCGGACACCTGACTACGTATAGTTCCGATGTGGACACAGGAAGAGGAAGTCGACCGCACGGGCATGGCAGCGTTTTCGCGTCGACCGTGTGTCATCCACGTGAACCGTCCAATATATCCAGGATCAAATATTCGTATATATATTTCCATAACTTTTTTTTTATTCCATATTATTAATATACTTAGAGAAATATTGAGAGAGAGAGAGAGAGAGAGAGAAGAAAAAAGATATAGAAATAGAATCTCGTTGCTTGAAGGGAACTGAACTAAACTACTTCGGAGAGAAAACTGAATTTCAAAATTCGCTAGCAATATTATTTTTTTCACTGTACTGTAATAAAATCACAAAGAAATTTGAAAATTGTTTTGATAAAATTCAAAACAAGCAATTTGGAGAATAATTAAATTAATTTTTTCACTAAGATTTTTAAAACGTCAAAAAATAAATAAATCTCAGTTTTTCAAATTTTATCAAGCATTAAGTAAAATAAAATAACACATAAATCTATTCTTGATTGAGTTTAAAATAAAATTCGATTTTTTCCCCTATATAATTAAATCTCGAACGAAAAGAAATACTTTTTTTTTTTTTTTTTTTTTTTTATTTTTCCATAAGGAATCGATCATATCTTATACTTGTACGTGAAATACAGGGAGAAAACGTGTTATGTAATTAAAAATAAAAAAAAAAGAAAAAAAAAAAAGACAGAAGAAGAAAAAAAGAGGAGATTCAAGGAGAAAAGTGAAGAGGAGAAAGTGAGAACGAAGGAAAAGGGGGGGAGGGGAGGGGAGGGTATAAGAAGGAGGAGAATAAAAGGGTCGCGTAGAAGAGCTCACAGTACGCCGAGTGTACACCCTGGGTATTGGCTTACACTTCCAACTGATTAGGCCCACGGTATTTACGCAGGACCCCGTAGAAAACCGGGCCCCGCCCTCTCTCTTTCGATGGTAACGCACGATTCCACGGAATTGTAACGTTTCCAACGAGCCGCTTTCTTGCATCGCGACATTTTTCATCCATCGTAACTGGGAGAGAGGATACTTGAATGAAGATGATGTTGATCGTGATCGTTCGTATCAAAATCTGATATGATTTGAGGAATATATATTATATCCTTAAATTGATTAAATTGAAATGGATATTTTGAATTTGCTCGTGTTATGTATATAATTTTTAAATAATTAATTTTTTATACGTATATACGTGCATATATATATATATATTATGTTTTTTACTAGTAAAGAGTAGATTCTTTTATATCGTGGTTAAGGATATACGGTGAAGAATATTTATTCCTTTTTTGAAGAGTTTACAATTTTTTAAAACATAAGTGATCGTAAAACAATTTTTTGTCTAACATGAAAAAAAAATAGAAAAGAGAAATATAAATCAAGTAATGACACAACGGGCATTAAAGTTACCGGTAATCTTCACTTGGTCAAAGATTCACGCTCCTACAATTATAAATCTGCTACAAGTGAATAT